ATTTTCATCCCTCCGCTCTTCATTTTCATTTGAAGGGAACCATAATCAGCCTTTCAGATTTAGACTGTAGATGGTTTACTCCCTAACTTTGTCTTGAAAGAGGGACCATAATCAACCAAGTAGAGGCACCTGGTTGTAGATGGTTCATTCCCTCCCTAGTCTTCATTTTCATTTGAAGGGAACCATAATCAGTCTTCGAGAATTAGACTGTAGATRGTTTAATCCCTAACTTTGTCTTGAAAGAGGGACCATAATCAACCAAGTAAAGGCACCTGGTTGTAGATGGTTTGTTTCCCTCTTTTTCCTTTCTCAAAAGTAATAACAAAAGAGAGAGAAAGAAAGGATGCATATCAAGACATAAATAGGGAGTATTCACAGAGGACTTTTCTTTTCTCTACCTGTATTAGTGAGACTTTTCCTTCCTTGCCTTCCCTTGAGCACTTCTCTTTTCTTCTCTCCTTATCTTTGCTTTTCTTAATAATCTCTTGTGAAAATTTTCTCCAAAGAGTCTCTCTGTGTGTCTATGTTTCTAGCTTCCCCTTAAGGAACTTAAATAGGGAGTGGGGTGGTTATGTAACTACCCCCTCCTCCTAGGTGAAGGACACCTGTCCCTCCCACTTAAAGATAGAGAACTCCCCACTTAAAGAGAGAGAACTCCCCACTTAAGAGGGGGAACTCCCATACGGGATACATTTTTATAATTTTAATGATTTGTCTAGTAGACTAGCTAGCCCACTTATTACAAATTATTTGAATAAAAAAAATGACTTCAATACTGTCCTACCCATATTTTCTGTGAAGCACCTATTAATTATATCTCTTTACTACAAATTTACTTTGTTTTACATGTCTAAATGTCATCTTTGGTCAATCTCATAAGTGAGATGCTTTTTCAAATTTCTCTAACTTAGAATGCTTGCTTCCTTTGTTTCAGGGGAGTGGGTTTCTTGAGATACTTCCAGTTGAAACAGTTGCCTAATTTTCTTCTTGCATCTCCAATACTATCTCTGGCACTTCATTCAATTTTACATTACACAAAATTACGTCCTGATATTGTTTTCTCATTGGGTTTCCGAGCTCCTTATGAGGAAAAGCATGCCGCTGCTGTGCTCTATTGTCTGAAGACAGGCCAAAGGCAAAAAGAGGCTCAAATTTCCAACAATATATCTTCTAAATTCCTTCTAGGTATTAGTTATGAGCACACTTCACATTTCAACACCAGTAATGTATTTTTATAATATATAGATGGGGTGTATGAGGAGGAGCATGTATGTATTGGTTTAGTGAATTCGTTTTTCTGACTTTTTTCAGATCTTTTACCCATATCTTAATATAAGCAAAACAAAATAAGTTTGATATAACAAGTGTACTGTAATTAGCTGCTAAGACCTGAAGCCTTGAAAATAAATCAAACATCATAATATTAGGCCACATAATGGTTAATTAGAAAAATAGCAAGGGGAAGACCAAAGAAGATGTAGGCTGAAGTGGCAAGAAAAGATGTAATTGCTATTTGACAGAAAACATGGTTAATGATAGAGCAACGTGGCAGGAAAGGATTTATGTAACCAATTGCAAATAGTTGGGATTAAGGCTAAGTCAAGTTGTATTAAAAAATATATATTTTTTGATAATTGCAAGTTGTATCAAAATATTATATTAGCTAACTAAGCCAAAATAATGAATTACATATAGACACAGAAAAAGTATAGAGACAACACACCTAAGTAAGACATTTAAGCTATTCAATTATGGGATAAATATTATCAAAAGGGAATAACATTCAATATGGAGCCCTTACATGAGGAAGCACATTCAACTGGAGGGATTGGTTTGAGATTAAGACTTCTGCCAAGCTAACACAACCATATGAGGTGGGATATGGATGTTACTTATATATTCAGTTCTTATAAGGTCCACCTAATTTGAGGGGTTTGTTGTTCAATCAGAGTCCTGTTAAAAAGAAAGGGAAACAATATTTAAGGATACCTGTCAAGTCCTTGAAACTCAACTTTTTGGTCTAATGAATCCAACCTGATATGTATATCAGATTCTAAAACTTGTACTGCATATGCATTTATGGTAATAGTTACAATTTATAAGGGAATATTTTATTTTCTATGTTGTTCTGCATAAAAAGTACAGGTTGTTATGCATGTTATATGTTGCTGAACTTATTAAGCTAAGAAAACTTATAACCCAATGATCATTAAAAAAATTGTAACCCTTTGCCTATTTCAGGCTTCAGCTATTTTATGTTTCTGTATGTGATCCATTAGTTTCCTCTTTTTTTTTGGGGGGGGGGGGGAAATAGGATCCATTTCCCTCTTCCATATTTATTGGAATTCTTAGTCAACATTCTAAAGCTTCTATTTGCATTTCTAACAGAGGATCACACAATTAGACGGAGAAAACAGAAGAGTAAAGAAGAGACTCGTGATTCCTTTGGTAACCTCATTCCATCAGGCAATGGAGCATATGTTACAGTAAAGACTGGATGCACATCTATCTTGGTTCTTCCTTTTATATTACACCTGGGATTCATGGCAGCAACAGCATTTTTTGTTATGCATGTACAGGTAAAGCTTTATCCTTTTCCCTTATTATTTGAACATTATCCTGAACATTATATTTTTAGAACAATGTCTACAAAACTTGATTGGGACAAACCAAAAGTGGTGCTGATTCAGTGAAATCCCATTCAACTTCTGATCTGATCTCAGTTCCCCAGGGAAGGAAAAATTTAAAATTGAACAGCTGTTGAACCAAGGAAAATTTTTCTTGGTTAAACCATCCTGTTTGACAACTATATTTGGTTGTAGTGTAGTTACGTTCAGATTCCAGAAAAGACTGAACCAAATTAGGATCAATGTTCAACTGATATGATTATCTGCTCAGTCCAATTTTTATCATTGTTTTTCAATGCATTTTTTAAGAAAAGTTAAGAAAACAGGTTATTTGAAGGGGCCTTCTTAGCCATCACTCTTAAGTCTATACTATCAAAGCTTTCTATTTTTCAAAGTGAATTATCCTTACCCTTCTTAATAACATCTGATTATTTTGGGTACTGTTCTGTGGTTTTTTAAGGGAAAACTGGCTTGAAGAATTTCAAAATTCTGTTAGAACTGAACATATTCTTAAGTGTTGCCATGAAACCTCTAAATTGGAATTGGTACAGTTTCAACATAACTCATAAAGGAAAAATACTATCAAGTTTTGAGGTATCTTCTTCCAAACCCAAATTGAGGACCCTCTTAGGTGCATCTGGAAGCAAAACTGACACTATTTCTGTCATCTTTGGGGGGATTGTGTGTTTGAAATTTGGACTATGCCAACCATATCTGAAACTCATGCTGCTTATAAAATAGGTGTAATATGGAAATTTTGAAAATTTAGGATGGAGTTTTCCATCTTATCAATTATCATCTCGATGTTAAGTTCGTACCACTCAAATATTGAAGCCATACTAGGTTGGTTGAAACCTGTAAAAGATATTTTACAAGACTAAATACATTGTCAGTTCATTGATAGTTAGCATGCATCTTTTTTCAGTTCTATTACATTTTCTGACCATATTATTTTGACAGGTTGCAACTCGTTTCCTGTCTGCAAACCCTCCTCTCTACTGGTTTGCCTCACAATTAATGGTTTCTCCTGGCATTAGTAAGAGATGGGGTTACTTGATTTGGGCATACTCTGCAGCTTACATCCTACTTGGCAGTTTGCTATTTTCAAACTTCTATCCTTTCACATAAGAAATTTCAGTACTCTTTGTTAGCTACCAATATTCAGCTGTTGCTATGTTCCCCATGGGTTGGTATTATCATGGATTACATGGGGACTGGCTCCAAGTTATCAATTGTTTTACTGGTAAAATGCTTATTGGTGTCACTTGCCTGACGATCAATTCAGCATGCGCAGTATACTTCTTACCAGGTTGTGTAACTTCTCTCGCCTCTGCCTTTGTTATGGCTATTTGAAAGAATCTCAATATTCTTTTGATATGATGAATGGTTACATCATCGAATCACAGCTTATCATTCATCATCCACTGTACAATTGGCCATAAATTTCCAAAATCCAAATGCCACCAAATCCAGACTTGAAAAGCAAGTTAGTTTTTGGTTCCTCTATCAAGATTTCTAGGTTTGCAATTGTTGATTCAATGTCAAGTTTGCATGCCTAGGCATTATTAATTTGATTTGCTGCAATGGCATATAAAATATGAGCTTCATTCAGTCAATGTTTGGATCAAATTATTCTGACAATGAAGGGCATTATGAGATTACAGGTCTACATGTTCTTCCACCTTCTACTCTGCATGATTGATTGGTTTAAAATCACTCTTGCACACCAGAAGAGACTTGCACTTAGCTTCATATTTGCTTTCTGAGAGAGCAGTTATTGTGAGCAATTTTCCAACCCCACTGCCATTTGTTTGCTGTTCGAATTTGATCAACCTCATAATGAAGGGCATTATGGCATTCACCATTAAAATCTTTATAGCAGTTATTGTGAGCAATTTCCAACCCCATTGCCATTTGTTTGCTGTTCGAATTTGATCAACCTCAAAAACTATTTCTGAAGATCAGATCACTGGATTTTCTGTGGTCAGGCTGTAATATTTTCTTTCCTTAACCTCCCTTAGTTTGATCATATACTTTGACATGGAAATTGATTGTACATTTATAAAAACCAGTTATGTGATGAAGGTATGGCAGCCGAAAAGAATCAGTTAGAGCCAGTAATGTGAGACCATTTTCATTCCCTTTACATGGCTCTCCGTTGAAGCTTCTTTTCAGTGGCTTCTCCAAAGCAGCTCAGCTAAATCTATTCAACAGAAGATATAAGCCCTTCTAAACGGGGTCTTTAAATGTGAAAAAAGAAGGTTTTATTCATATGGAAAGAAGAAATACCCTATAGTTCTCATTATACATAATTACATACTCATAATGCGAGAAAGCAGTATCATGAATTCACAACTCAAGCATAACCAAGGCATAAAAGGCCGAAAGAGCTGATGTTGATCAAGGTGTCATTTTTGTCACCTAATTTTTCATTAAAAAAAGACAAATTGAGTTCAGTCATGCACTCTATACTAATTTCAAGGTTCATATCGTTAGAGCTGTCTATGGGTTGGCTGATTACTAATTGGGGATTCGTTTTGGTTCTTTATTAAGATATATAGACGTATCCCTTTTTTCATGTTATATTTCACATCTAAAAGGGCAAATTTGATAACCAGTATTTTTTTCAATGGTTCAACGATTATGCTGGAAAGATGTGATATAAGCAATTTATCATTTTACTGTCACTTTTATTAAAATTATATTATAAAAAATGAAGTTATATATTATTATTATTATTATCATAAGTGATATAATCAGATCTAATAATATTTGGTTTTGGGTTTGTGTCTAAGAATTGATTAATAATTGGAGGTCGATCTTGTCACACGCCTTGAGTCAATCCTCCAGAGACTAATTCCAGTCACTGTTCACGTATATGCCTAAGATAAAGGCTCCGTTTGGTGAGTTGAGGCGGATACAAATATTGCACCCCGTTTCTTGTATATAACAATGATTTACATTTTTACGCAATTTGTACATCGTGTCTTTATTTGTATCCGTTTCTAACTATGATTTGGAAGTGGTCTCTCTTCGAAAGATGGAGTGGAGTAGAGCCTCTAAGGGGAATAAAAGCCTTTTGGCATGGGGTTAGAGGAAAGATGAGAGGATTGCAGGGGCTCGAGGGTATGGGATTCGACGACCTCCAACATGAGGAAGATCAACATCCCGAGGTCTGAGGTCCTAAAAGGTAAGAGAGATCCTCTATTTATCAAAGAAGAAAGTACAATCGTAGGCTGTGGGTTTATAGTTTTGCTTAACATGTCGTGGGTTCATCGCGAAGATGGCATGAGCTGTAAGTTCATCACAACACGGGATTGATCGTAAACTGTTCGTGAATGCTTCTGCAAACAAACATCATAGACAGTTTTGTCATGCTGTCGCTTCTCTATCCATAATCTTTCTGTGTTTCTAATATTTCCAGACGTGAGCGACTTTATATTCAATCTTACCTTATGTATGGCATATTAAATAAAAGCACTTTTGTCCCAATAATTCTCAAAATTCTACCAGTTTTGTTGGCCCATCAATACGAACCCACCAAACTACCAAAAGGATGACAATTGCACTTGAAATCATGCACCCGCGTCCATCCACACTCAGTTAAATTCTATAGAAAATTTTCTGCACGTTCCATTCAAATGCAATAAAACTATTAGCAATTGGGTTGGGTGGGTCGGGTTTAGCAATTGGGTCAAGACACTATGCGTTGATTTCGGGTCGAATTGGATTTCGGATCAAGACACTGATGGATTCCAGTATTCAAGCACATAACATGTAGCGGGGCCTCAAAAGGTTCAGAGAGTGAGAGAGCAAAAGACTATAACAAATTAAAAAACACTGGGTTTCCTTTCATAATTAAAATAGATTATTTCTTTAGCACAGAAAAGCATACTATACGCACACACAAGCTCGTTGTACACACACTGTAAATTACTATGTAGACTTCTTCATACGAGAATCAAACATAGAGAGAGCGATGGCTTAGACAAAAAAGTAAATAAGACCAAGCATCTTCTCTTTATATGTTTTGGTTGAGTCTGGCGGCCTCTGTAACAGCTGCTGCCACGCCCCCAGGATGAGTGCTCACGTTAGAATTATTCCGGAGCTCCGCACCAACCACCCTTTCAGCGTCCCGGCGCGTTGCCGGTTTATCACGCACTAGCTTCGCCGTCGCATCCTAGCCAATCGACAAAGGAAATGCCGACGTCAGTCGGTCTCTCATCACTCATCAAACCATGAAACCAACCAGTGAACAAAGAAACGACACAGAGACGTATATATAATGCCTCTAGCTAGCTAGGGACTGAATTATACCGTGAGAACTTCACCCAGAGTAACCTTGTCTTCGTCGCGAATGGCCCGTTCATTGACATTCGCTGCAGATTGAGCTTCTGCACCAACACCTCCCGGTATGTTAACGTTCAGACCTGTAGCTCTCACCTCCGCTGCTTGTATCGCAGCTGCATCACTCTGATCGACTGGCTTGTCACCGGATACCATGGCAGTCGCTTCAAGTGCTTCCCCAATTGTAATTGGATGAGGTCCGTCACCGGTACCCCCTGCCGCAGTCGTCATCGGTGCACCTGGCAGGGTGTACTGTCCAACCACCTATTAAAAACAATCAACAACCACAGAGAGACAATGTGAATGACGAATCAGTATATCTCACACAATTGGAACTTGAAATAATTAAAATCCGAGGGACCAACCTCATCTCCGACAGCCTCGGTTATTATGCTTCTTCCAGGAAGATCAGTCTCTGTAACAGTCACACCTCGATCCTTGGTGATGTCGGTGACATCATCGTGTCCAACATGACCTGTTCTTTCATTGGTCGCCGCAGCCGACTGCATGGTAGCAGCCACACCGCCTTTCGGGGTGCGTCCAATGACCAAGTTTTCAGCCGACTGCATCAGGGAGGCATCTTGCGGTTTGATGGGTTTGGAGGCAAGGTCGCCGGAGACCGGGAACACGTCGCCGTACTTGACGGGCTCTTGCTGTTCAGCTTGGGGCCTCTGTGGCTGTTGCTGGCTCATCTTGGGTGGATGCTGATTGCTGTGTATCAACCTGTTTTAAGAGAGGGAGCAGGGAAGATGAGATTTGTGGAGGTGGAGACCTGGGGTGAGCCGTGAGGTTTATAAATAAGGCAGCGCCAATGAGTGAAGTAGCATGTAAGGATGAAGAAAATACTAGAGTGAGACACTGAGACGTGGGCAGAGTAGAGTAGGACCGTTTTGGTTGTAAGGTAGTCGTGGCAGCTCCATGGCTTAAGTGTTGGCTCTCCACCGTCTCTTGACAACGTCAAAGTTATATTGCTTGCCTCGTTGCCAAGTAGTAATCAGACAGTGAACGTATTAACCTCTTTCCCCAAATACAAATAAAAAGAAGAGTCACATGACACACATCATCACATGGAGATCATGATACGTGGAAGGGTTGTATTATGACACTTGTAAGCTGTGGATAGAGCATAAATTTGGAAACTGGATGGACATTGGTTTGGATTAATGGACATTGGGCACACACCAAATTATGAAATTAACGTGGCGTGATAAACCCAATTCTTTAAGCCTTAATTTGTTTGCAATGTAGAGTGTTGTGAGATGTGATGAGGCCAAAACCGACCATCATCGGTTAGAAACCGTCAAAGTGGCAGCATATCAGGGGCAAAGTTGTCAATTGATGAGTTAACCTGTCTTAGCGAGCTGACCTGGTCACATCAATTCATAACACGCACAATCAATAGTGCCTGAGCTAATTAGAACATCAATATCATCACACTTCTTTAGGCCCACTATCATCATAGTGGATTGAGCTCCAAACAGATGTAAGAGATGTATTGATTCTTAGATGAAGCCCCTCTCGAATCCTCCATTCATTTGGACAACTGAACATGAACATAGTAGTACGCTACTATGAATAAGGCACGCCAGATATCTCGGCACATGGAGCTCACCAAGTCCCCCTGTGAGCTCTTCAACTCATCATCTGGAGCTTACTATCTCTCCCTACGAGTTCTCCAACTCTCCCTATAAGCTTTTCAACTCATCACATCGAATTCACCAGTTCTCCCTACGAGCTCTTTGGCTCTCCCTACAAGCTCTTCAACTCATCACATATAGCTCTCTCGTTCTCCCGAGCTCTCCAGCTCTCCCTATGAGCTCACTAGCTCTCCCCATGAGCCCTCTAACTCTCCACACAAGCTCTCACCTCAATTCACCAAGCTCTCTATCTCACTTTATTTTCCCTTGGTGATTACTAACTTAATCATCGAAATTCACGTCCCTGAAATTACCCGGGGCCTCTGACATCTCTTATGGTTCCAAGTCTCTCTTAGTAGCCAAGGTGACACACTACTCCAGAAACTTTTCATCCTTGCCCTTGTAGTCAATTTTGATCACCATCAAGATGCATGTGTGAGTTGTAAGGAGTGACAAAGAGTGAGAGTACAAAGATTCTCACATTAAGAAAAAGGGAAACCTATGATTTGACTTACATGGATCATGAGTTTTTATTGGTCTTTTGATTTTATTTATAAATAGTTTCACCTATGATTCATTACCTCTTTGATTTTAGCCATAAAAATCTATTGTTAAAAGGTAAATTTTTGTCCCATCCAATTATCAGCAATTTTCCCTAGTTATGTGGGAAAGTTATTTACCCTCCTCGGAAAAGGGTTTATCTCGGGAAAATAAAATTTTCTTAATTCCCACATAAATTTAAAAAAAGAACATGGGTTTCTTGGTCAATATATTGTGAATCTCATTGACCAACTTTCCCTCTTTCAAAATCCAAAAAACCAACACCCTCTTAATGGATTAAGGCTTGGTCAATAGATTGTGAATTTCATTGACCAACTTTCCCTCTTTCAAAATCCAAAACACGAACACCCTCTTAATGGATTAAGGCTGCATCTAACATTCCGTATTTTAAGAACTTATCTCCTTTTTGTAGTTAAAATGCCTCGATGAACACTGAATTTTTAACTGAAAAAAAAAAGATAAATCCTTAAAATAAGGAATGTCAAGTGCAGCCTAATATCCATTGGTTTAAAATTTTTATCTCTTGTGTTCCAGTCTGACGTGCATGTATGTTGTGCATAAATTCCCAATTTTGGTATCTACTCTTGATTTGTAACTCCCCCATGGCGCAATAGATTGTAGATTCTAATTTACTTTTGCTTGGTATTTGAATGTTTTATCTATTTATGAGAAATAAATTAGAAGTAATGCAAAATGGTCTCCATCTTGTTGTATGAAAGAGAATGGAAGTAAAGGGTTAATTATTTGTTTGAGATTGAGTTAAGAAACAAGATAATGTGATCAACACATCATATAATAGAAAATTTGCATCAGTTTATGGGATGCAAAATCATAATACAAATTTTGCACCTGATAATAGTGCAAATGCAACAGAAGGTATAAATAAGTTATTTTATAAATATTGTATAAAATTTATTATAACTTTTTCATATTCTTCTTAAACTCACTTCTCAAAACTTCCAAAGATCCCCTATCAGTGAGTTTAGTGAAAATTGTCTACATAAACATTTAAATATTTTATATAATTAAATTACCCTCAAATGGTCAATCAAACTTATTAAAATGTATATTTTAAATATATGCAAGTTGGGTTAGTGTCGACCCCGGCCCAAATCAGGAGTAATTTTGTCAAAAAAATATTTAATAAAGATGACTAGCTTTTTGGAGGTAGATTGATCATATAAAAATGTGAGTTTTGGACAAAAAACCTCGATGATAAAAAGGCTATCTAGAGCAATGATTCAAAAGCCTGACCTAGGGGCGTATATATTTATATGTAATATATGAAACATTTTATATTTAATTTATATTTTTAAAAATATTAAAAAATTATCATTTGAAGTTAAAAAAAAAAAGTTTTATTTGAAAAAAATAATAGAACAATGTGCCTTAAATAAAAAGAATCACTTCAATCGGATACGGATATCGAAATGCAAAACTAGGACATACTGAAATTTGCATACACAATTATTATGCAACCTATCATCTGGGTCAAACAATTTTTCTAGATGTTTTGAAAAGTCGTGATAAATTTAAGAGGAATGGAAAAAAAAAAAATCATAATAAATTTTACACAAAGTTGTTAAATTTTATATGATCATAATGACAAATAAACAAATACAAAACTTAATGTATTGCTAAATTTTAGATGAGATTAAATCATTTATAAGTTATAAGCCAAGTATACCATGATGATGTAGTGTACCATGATATATTGACCTAATATTTATCCGGTTCTCGTCTCCTAGTGGAGTCCGACACGGTTTAGGAAAAGAAAAATTATTTTTGTCTGATATAGTATATAAATTGAGGGGCAGAAGTGAAAAAGGACTCAGTTTGCATGGTGTATAATACCTATTATCCCCTGCTGCTCATTCCATTTTTATCAAGTGAAGTGATGGGAAATTGTGGCATAAAATTTGCTAGCTACAAACCACCCGCTTCTTCCATTTTTGCCCCAGTCTAATTACAAGTCTACAAACCAGTTGGAGAACATCTCTCTCTCTCTCTTCATGGAGTATCAAAAGCTCCCCTGTTTAGATACCTCTAGCCAGAGAACTTATCAGATGAGACATCAGTTGGTTAAATACCTCCATAAGACATCCTCCTCATTGAGAACTCTTTATTTTAAATCTTCATTTTAATTATTTCCTAGTTGATTTATTCAGACTGGAAAATGGTATTTTCATATTTTGAAGAGTTTTCTTTTTTATTTAGCGAAAAAAAAAGAGTCCTTATGGACTAACAAAACCTGAAATAACATAATGGACTGATTTAATCTGCTACTTTCACTTATGCCCCGTCCCCTAATTAGTTGTGAGTACACATACCGCCATGATCATGATTGTGGCATTTAAATCTTGAGGCCCTCATCACCACTGGAAACTTTCCTAGAACTAGAAGAAACTGCCTTAGGCTTAGCCATCAAAGAAATAGGTTTTCTGTTCTTCGATTTACTACTCTGAAACCAATTGCTTCCTAGCGTATATTTGGACCAAACCAGATTCAAAGTACAATGCTTTTAATTGCTTTTATTTTTTCATTATCAAGAGTAAAAGTAAAGCAAGACACAATACAAACCAACTTCTGGTACTGAAGAGACTTTTAGAGAGAGAGAGAGAGATTCTAAAATCTGCAAGAGAGGCAGAATGCCAGAACCCATGGATGAGAATGAGTAAAATATAGGAGGGAGAGAGAGAGATAGTGAAGCAAGTATGGGTTGGGGTTGTCTCGTCTCGGTTCTCCTTAATTTATTCCATCCACTTGTCCTTGTTGAGCCTAGCAGCTGCCGCCACGGATGCAGCCACGCCGCTAGGATGGGTGGCCGACTTCGGGTTCTCTCTCATCTCCGCCCCAGCTACCTCTTCTGCGTCCTCACGCGTCGCCGGTCTGTCTCCCGGTAGCTTTATCGCCGCATCCTGTGTGGCAAAAGAACAAAAGCCCACATCTCTTACATTCATCTACTGTTTGATATTGACGAAATTACTTGGGTTTATCAAGCAAAAAACAACATAGAAAGACTAGGAACCGACCCCAAACAAGCACCCAACTTACCATGAGAACATCCCCTATCTTAATCTTTTCCTCATGGCGCATAGTCTGTGCATTGACAGTAGCTGCGGATTGAGCAGCGGCAGCGACACCTCCTTGTGATATAGTATCCCCCCCTGTGGCTCTCAGTTCTGCTGCTCGGATTGCAGCTGCATCACTCTTATCGACCGAAATATCTCCCACTGTCACCGCCGTTGCTTCGAGAGCTTCCCCGATTGTTATTGGGTCACGTTTGAATTGTCCCACCACCTGTAAGAGTAGCTTCTACTTGAAGCGAATGCTTTCAGAGAGAGAGAAAGAGAGAGAGAGAGAGAGAGACCTGGTCTGCAATTGACTCGTTCACTATACGGTTTCCGGCACCATCATTCTCTGCAACAGTGAGACCCTCGTTAGTGGTAATATCAGTGTCATCACCGTGACCAGCTCGCTCGTTGCGTGCCGCCGCTGACTGCATTACAGAGGCCGGACTGCCTTTTTGGGTTTGACCAAGTACCCGATTCTCGGCAGACTGCATCTTGAGGTGAGATGGGTTTGGCTGCAAGTTCCCCGGAAACTGAGGATACGTCCCGTACTTGATCGGCTCCTCGGTGGCTTGAGGCCTCTGTGGTTGTTGCTGACTCATATTAGATGAGATGGGACTGTGTTGGAGGTCTGATTCCAGAAAGATGGTGAAAACTCAGTCGCAGTATTAATTAAGAGGACGCTGCTACCCTGTTGCCGGTACTCGAACAGTCGAAATCCTAAGCCTAAGAGCGATTTTAATTTGACAACAGTCGGTATTTTTAGACAGTTCTACAGATATTTGGCGAGCTCCTGGTGAGAACTCCATCTGAGTTGGCTCATAAAGAGACACGAGGGAACACGCAGGGAGATATCATGCCACGTTAATCCCTGCAGAGACACGAGTACGACTACACGCAGAGGCAAAAGGGGGACATCTTGCTTGTTGAATGACTTTATTTTTTTAATTTTTTCTTTTTCTTTATGATCCTTTTGTTTAATATTTTAAAAATCGACTTACAACCGGAATCGTTTTAACAATTGATTTTTGATCAACAGTTCGACCGTTCAATCTGGAATCTGGATAGATGGTCTAAAACCTGGGTAATAGGTCGCTGACTTACGGGTTTTGGTAAGGAATAAGAATCGATTGCCTAAATAGTTTTCGAACCAAACAGTCTTACCAGTGGTTCCAAAACATACTTATTTTTATTTGTTGGAGCAACTTTTATAATTTAGATGGATACGGATATGAATATGTTTTGGAAATAAATGGATATGGATGAAAAATATAAAAAAGTTAGGAAAATATATAAAAATTTCATAATACATTAATAATATTAAATTTAAGGTTAAATTACCATAAATCTTGTATAAATACATAGAAAATATATATTTTAATAGTGTATATCAAAAAAAAATATATTATAATTAATATAATATGATGAATAGATATCATACAATTTTATTGATAATGTATCAATGAAGAGCCCAAAATGCAAAACATATTTTTCTATTATATCAATTATTTTTTATTTTACTATTTTTACTTGTTTACATTAACAAAGAAGTCAACCAAATATTAAATTTACTATGTAAATTAAAATATCTGTTAATAATGTACAATCTCAACTTAAAATATATCAAATCTATTAAAATTTCTAAGATACATATCATATGCAAATTCATAATTTTTAACTTTTAAAATGATTATTTTGTTATTATATTTTTATTCCTATAATTTTTAATTAAAAATATTTTTTTGGTATAAATGTAGATTAGTAGATTTGATAGCTTCAATTTAAGATTATATTTTTGAATATTTTGTAAACAATTTTTTTATTTTCTAAATAATAAATATAATTTTTTGTATGTAAATTTATATATCATGTGCAAATTTATAAATTTTAAGCACTAAACTAATTATTCTCTTATTAATATTATATTTTTATAAAATTTTTGAGATTCAAATAATATTTTGATATAAATGTGGATTTGATATATTATTTATTTCTATTATTTTATAAAATATTGATTTTAAAAATTACTTTTTTAAATTTTTAGTTGGAGTTAACTGTAATATGTATTATTTATTTGAATTGCACTTAAAGTATATTCATTTACTTATAAACACAAAAGATGGAGTGACGTAGTGGCTTATAGACACGGGTTTGAATCCTTACAACTTTATTTTTCAATAGAAAAGTATGCATATGCGCATTTGTATTTCATTGATAGAGCATCGTATACACCTCCAATCCTATAATGGTAGGGTACACCTTCAGTCATAGCGTATCCTGTGCTGGATACCGGTTGAACATATCATATTGATATTTCAATCCTTGGATATTCCTGATGCAATGTTGCATGAGGCTATTGGGGTAGTGTTAACATGGGCTTGCCCTGTCTAAAGCTAATCTCGTGCGAAAATACTAATTTACCATTCCACTATTGAGATTTTATTTACAAAGAAAACAATGTGTTAATATTTGTTTGTCATAGAAGACCAAATATTTTTTTTATTCAAATTTAAAGTGAAAATAAGCTACTTTAACTCTCTCTTTTTTGTTTAAATTCTGCAATAGTATATCAGATGAAATTAAGAGGGCCATTGATCGGTCAATCTGACCATTCGGATCAAAGCTTTAAGAATTATTATTAGCTCATAATATAGAAAATCAATAATTAAAGTGTAACAAAGTTCCTTGAGGGAAACCATTCCTACTGTGACTACTGTCCCTTTTTTTTAATTTGACATTTTACGGCTAAAATAAAAGGCAAAAATTACTCAGAAATTATTTTTTTTGGTAGTGTATTTGCAAAAATAAAGTCGGATGCATGAATACTTTGCAATTTATATACTTACTTCTTGAACATTAGAAACATAAAAATCTTGGGATGCATGAATACTTTGCAATTATTCATACTTACTTCTTGAACATTAGAAACATAAAAAAAAAAAATGATTGAGAAAACCTCCTTGAACCATTTTGGCCACCGGTTCCTGGGTCAAACAGTCTGACTGTTTGGTTCAAGCAAATGGCCCGTTTTGATTTAAAAAATAAAAAAAAATAATGAAAATAAAAAATGGCCAAAAACTATTGTCCAGTAGACAGAACAATGATTCGATCACCTGGGTCAACAGGTTGCTGACCAAGTCAACAGTTTTTGACCCAGAAGTGATTTTAGAATGAAACAGAACTGATCACCTGGACGTTTCCTGAGTCAACCGATCTGACTGTCCTGTTTTCAAAACCACGGAGTAAAATACCATTAAGGCCAACTTTTACCCTCTAACTAAGCAAGTCCAAGTCTCCTATCTACGTCTACCCAAATAACATCACAACCACAAATGAAGAACATCTCATCTTCCTATATAGCATTATACATGGAGAAGTTCCCAATTCACAAAAATAATATATTATGAGTAGATATGAACAAAGTTCTCGTGGACAGGAGATTCGGAGTCTAACTAAACAAGGTCTACCTATTCTATGCTGAATTTCGGCCCAGTATTTTTCGATGTAGAACCCATCAATCAACTACCGACGGTGGATCCCTTTTTTTTTTTTATTGGTGGAAAGGAAGATATATATTGATAGCGGAGCCAATTTGATAGTGCCAACAGCAATTTGAGATTTTGGGTAACATTCAGTTAACCGCTTATCGTTACATCCAACATCTATGTATCGGAAAAATAGGTCATTAATCATCATTACATTGGAAATTGGAATGGACATTATATAGAGTATAGACAGACCCTAATATCTGATAAATTAAGCTCTGAACCGTCTCATCCCCTAAGGATCAGTTTGGAAACATCACAAATATATACAAAATAATATAAAATACAAGGTTTTAGGATCTGTTTGGTTTGAGAGAATAGGAAGAAACGAAATCGGAATTGGGCATTCCGTTTCCAGGTTGACCGGAATGGGAATGAGTAGGTAGAATGCCATTCCCCCATATGGGGGAATCATATGGGGGAATGACCATTCCTGACCCCCTCCCCCGGAATGTGATTCCCATTCCACTATTAGTTTCCTTTTTTTTTCTTTTTGGATGTGCAATTCAGAAGTAAGATGCTGCGGGTACACCAGGGTTTCACCTTGGCAAAGAACCTCCCCAAATCTGCCACTCGTGCCTTCGTCGAGAATCATACATCCTCTGTATGATCACCACCACCATGGCCCAACTTCACCATCACCGTCTTCTGCTACTGCTAGCCACCACTACGCATCACTCCTCCAGTCTCTTATTGAAGGAAAAGCAATCGAGCCTGGGAAGCAGATCCACGCGCACCTCCTCGTTACGGGCACCGGTTTGAGCACCATTGTAGCCACCAAACTCGTTAATCTCTACTCGGTTTGTAACCATTTACCCCATGCCCACTGCTTGTAAGACAGAAATCCTAAAGACAACGTCTTCCTTTGGAACGCTCTCATTCAGAGATATGCTTGGAATGGACCCCATCAAGCCGCTCTTTCCCTTTACCATCAAATGTTTGATTATGGTCTCCACTCTGACAACTTCACTTTCCCCTTCGTCCTCCAGGCATGCTCCGTCCTCCCTGCGCTACAAGGGAGAGAGATCCATTGTCACCTCATACGGGCGGGATGGGAATCGGACGTCTTTGTAGGGACTGCGCTTATTGACATATATGCCAAGTGTGGATGTGTAGCGACTGCGCGTCGAGTCTTTGACAACATTCTGGTAAGAGATGTGGTCTTCTGGAATTCCATGCTCGCTGCTTACTCCCAGAATGGACACCCAGATGAGGCCCTTTGTCTGTGCCGTGAGATGGCTTTTGCCGGTTTGAGGCCCACTGTTACAACTCTCGTCGCCGTCATCTTGGCGTCGGCTGATATTGCGGCTCTCTCCCTCAAGGGAGGGAAATGGGTTTAGCTGGAGGCATGAGCGAGTATGGGTGGATTAACAATGAGACGGAGGAAACGTTTGAAGAAGTGGTGGATAGCTACAAGCAAAACTTCTGAATTTGCTACAAAATTTTCATGCATTCTTTTGAATTTGCTACAAAATTATTGTAATTTTTGCATTTCCTACAAAATTTCTGCATTTTTGGATATTTTCATGCATTTTCTACTTTTTATTTTCATTAGAGGCTAAATTGGAAATCATAGCTGATTCCAATTCCAACCTCTTGATGAACCAAACAGCATCAATCGGAATCCGATTCCAATTCCTGTTTGAACCAAATAGGTAAAGGGAATAGACCATTCCGATTCCAATCACAAACCAAACGGACCCTTACACTCTACAAATTTGTGTGTGTACTCCTTCCAAACTAAGCTAAGCTCCACAGGACCAAGTAATCTGTGCTAATTCATTCTCCATGCCAACAATTCTTTCAGTTTAACATCTGACAGTTGAATTTTATGTTGTCCATGCATTAGGCGCTGCTAATTGAGCTGTGGCAGCCAGGATCTGTGGGCTGTGGCTGGCTCTCACCTTTACCATGCATCTCTAGTGCATGGTAAACACCTACTCTGCATTTAATAACTAAAACCCGTACCAGTTGAGAAATTACGTACCCACTACCCAGAGGATTTGATAACTTCTAAGCCATTACCTGCACATACCAACAAGAGGGTTACAAATATTTAGCCACGGTGAGGAAGAATGAAACTTAACAATATAACCAACACAACTGGGTTACAAATACCATTTTCTGGATCAGAAAATCACATTATAATCAATATCTCTAGCCATATGGTAGTGGTAGCTTTCTCGGTGGTTGGTTAGTACACTGTACACAAAGGCCCTGAGAAAAGAAAACAAGTTCCAAAACCTACTTCCTTCCCACATACCTTGGTTAAATTCTTTGATTACAGTCAAATAGAAAATGAAATAGAATGATGCTTATAATTTTCTAATTACCAGTCCCAGGATTTACATTGTCATCAAGGAGGTAAGATGTAATAAACGAAGCAAACCAGTCCCAAAAACTTACCATCTGGATCAAAGAAGAACACTTGCTTTGTTTTCCCATCTGGTTGAGTCTTCTCAAAAGTCTCAATTCCTTTTTCCTACAAGATTTATTTTATTTGAGAAAATTAATCCAATACAACATACAGAAGCAAATATTAAACAGAAGACTACGTGAGCTTTCCCCATGGAGACAGTAAAAAATCTTGATTGAGATTATTACCTTAACATTTCAAAGGCAAAGGGAAAGGTTCTCATTAATTACAGACAAGAAGGGGATAATTTACTTCACATTATAATTACAATAAGGGTGCATTTGGCTCCTGATAGAATAAGTGAAAAAGGGAAAGCTGTGGGTAAGTCCCTTATGAATTCCTAAAATTGTTTTAATGACTGTCTGACAGATTTCCTTTCTCATTTATTTTCTAAGGAACCAATTAAAAACAGCATGATGTAAAATTTTCCTCCTTCATCAATTCCATAACCTTCTCTTGGGCAATAATAAATAGATCAAAGAAATAACAACACATCCACCATTTTGGTTACTTTCTAAGTCTAGAACTCTATTCTGAAAATTATTACAGCCGAAGATGCAGAATAGTTTCATTGAATTCACCATAGAAGGGTATGAAGCAGCTACAATCTCTGATGTTAAGATGGAATGCAAGACCTTCACAAGCATCTTAGAAAAATGACTTCTCAATTTCTCATGAAAATTTTGTTAGTTGAACCTCCAAAGAAACCTAGTCAATACGATTCCATCCATCCAATCATTCCTGTTGATTAAAATCTTGCCAAATTCCACTTACCCCATAATAACCTTTCACCTATGGTATACCCGGTGAGAAGGGAATAGTAAACGGTGAAGGAGCACGATAGAGGGTCAACACAATAGTCCAACACAAATATGGCCAACAAAGCGGAGAAGAGTCAATTATAGATTTAAATTTATTTACATAAAAGGAAGAATTAAAAGGCGGGTCTGCTCAAATGAAGCAACAAGCATATCAAGGCTGAGGAAGACAGGATATTGAAATACTTCAAAAGACCTTTATCATCCCACTTCAACAAATGCAGAAGTTCTAAAATCTTGTATTGTTGCAGAGGCTATACTTTTGCATCTGAATAACTTTGATCCAAGTTCAAAATCTCGCCCAGATCGTCAACCCGGACAGGCCTAAGTAACTCTTTTACCCAACGAATTAATAATGTATCAGTCAACAATAGAGAGCCTAGAAATGGAATGATTTTCTCAGTGTTGACCTCACGCAGAGTTCCTCAGGTGTAGTAAAAAACATAAACAAGCCCAGACAACATATCGGGGTTGACAGGTGAATCCGGTTTTGTATTACCAAAAGAAACGTTAACCTGGTTTCTATAATCTAAAATTAACATAAATACAACTTTGGTCTGGAAAGAAAATAACTCCACACACAGAAAATGGAAGATGTTTCGTGCCAAATCTCTCAAGGATTTACGGTTTGGAGGATAGACACGCACAGAGACAGAAAAGAGAGAGAGAGAAGGGAGGGTCACCTTCAAGGTTTGAACGAAGGAGTCGTAATTGGAGACAGAAAACGAGATGTGGTGTCCTCTGGGGAGATTCTTCGGGTCAGCAATCGTCGCAGCAGAGCTCCACGGTCCTTCCGGAAGTTTCGTTTCGGGGTTCCTCTCGATGAGATGCAAAGAAAAAACAGGAGAGAGTCTTAGCCAAATCACCTCAAACTCTCCAAATTTAGGGCTTTCGATCACCTCGAACCCTAAAATCTGCACCTTTAAAAAATCTATATCAGAAACAGAAGAGCTAATTCTACAGATCTAGTCCACTGATCTCAGAAAACGATTGAATGAAAAAGAATCAGACCTCCTGATAGAATTTAGAGAGACGTTTCACATCTGTTGTTTCCCTTGCTATGTGGTTCAGGCTAACTCCCTTCGCAGCCGCCATTTTCGTTTCGTTTCTCTATTTCACTCTTTCACTCTGGTTCTTGAAGGCCATCTTTGTACAAGGAAAGCATATGGTCGCGATTCGCGACACGTGCTGTGCATGCTTTTGCTTTCTGCAGCTGAGGATTAGGATCAGGACCATCCCGCCTAACCGCCTAACTGAAGGCCTGCTTGATGCAGTGTACTCAAACCGTCGTTTACTCGCACGGTCGAGCCGTTTGAAACCGCAACCCAGGGTCTTTTCCGGGGTAGGCGTGGGCAGGAGATCCGGACTCCTCAAACAATGGATCAGGGACTACCAACTATTTTAAAATTCTGAAGGCCATAACTTTTCGTTTGATGGTAGATTGGGAAACTTTTCACAATTTATGCATCGCAACGAGCGGAAAGCACCTTGTTCCATTATTTTTACAAAAAATAAAATCCAAAATACATCTATTTTCAGATTTTGGCCTTAAATCTTAATTTTTATTTTTAGTATAAAAAGCTAAAAAGAAAAATATGTATAAACTAACCCATTTAATCTAATCTGGAAGGTCGAACCGCTGATGATGACCCGGAGGCAAAGTAAATTTTATTAATAAACTAACATATCCAGCAGATTTTTAGACCCACATTAACTAACTGATTGGGATCATCACTGATCCATTCACAGCATTTAACTACAGAATGTTTTTTTTTTAAGGTAAAGTAAACTTTATTAATAAGAAAAATAGTTATACAAAGAGGGAAGAAAACAGATCCCCCTCACAAAGAGATCAGAGATCCCATATACTGACTGACTTTAGCATCAACAATACATTCTGATCACAAAACTCAGGAAGGACTGACATCCAGGATGCTACCCTAGCCACAATACACTGGATCAACACCTCAGGGCTTTTCTTCTCTCTTCTGAAGATTCTGCCATTCCTCTCATACCAAATTGAGCTGATAACTGCCGCAGGGATAGATCTCCAAATGAGCTTGCCTCTTTTTGATAAGCCCGGAAGGTGCCAGCCTTTTAACAGCTCCTTTACATTGCTCGGCATAACCCAGCATATACCCACAGCAGAAAAGAAATGGGACCAGATCTTCCAGGAAAGATCGCAATGAATGCATAGGTGGTCCATGGATTCCTCGACCAGACCACAGTTTCCACAACTTAGGTCCTCTAAACTGAATCCCCTCTTAGCCAAATTACTTCTTGTTAGGCATTTCCCAAGTGCAGAGGTCCAGACCAGGAAATTAATTTTGGAAGGGGAAGAGGGAATCCATACTTCTTGTTAGGCATTTAACTACAGAACGTTTTAAATAGGCATGTAATTCCTAGTTCAAGTTCCTCCTCTAACTTTGTATGTGTAGTACCTATTTCTCGTAAGTGCAAAGTCCCTATTGATTGTTTTGGAGCTTCCAAGCCATTACCTGCATATGGAAGCAAAAGGGTTTCAAAAGGTTAATCTGGTTTCTAACATTAACACAAATACAACTTTAATATAACTAATTACTTGCAGAACCTAACTCTAGCTGCAGTAGGCTTCCAGACTACTGTATCTCTAGTTTATAAGGTAGCCAATATAATAATCATTCATAAGTACTTCACTCACACAGAAAAGAGGTTCACGCTCACCTTAGGAAATCTTTGGAGGTTTAACGGTCATCATTAAAATACAATTGTAAATTAGGCCCATTGTAGTAGCAGTCATTTATACATATTATATTTGTTTCTGGAGCAAATGAACCGGAGGAAATAAAGAAATAACAAAAAGAGAACCAAGAGAGAGACTATACCTTATGGTTTTGGGAGATTCATTCCATAAGCAATCAGCCAGTATAACTGCACAAAGGAGCTCCATAGTCCTCCAGAAGCTGTGTTTTCTGGGTTTTGGGTTTGTCTAAATGAGATGCAGAGAGAAAGCAGGGGAGGGGGAGGGGGGACTCACCCATATCAATTCAAATTCTCCATATTTAGGGGTTTCAATCACCTTGGGCCCTAAAATCTGCACCACAAAACTTATCCCAAGCAGAAAAGATGAATTCATAGAAAGTCCATGGATCTCTGAAAAGTTTTCAAATAAAAATGGCATTAACTTTAGAGGGCTATCATACATATTAGGGCGGTACAGTGGCTGAAATATTTGGAACTATTCACAGATTACACTGTGGATGACATGTTGAGGAAATGGGGTGAAATTGCACACAGACCAAGTCAGTAATGAATGTGGCTTGGACTCCCCCACCTAGTGGATTCTTGAAATTAAACTTTGATGGTTGTAGTAGGGGAAATCCGGGACAATCGGGGATTGGAGGTGTTTTTA